AAGTTGTTCATAACGAAAGTTTTTCGAGGGTTTACTTAGCCTATGAATCTTGTGCAACAAACAAGTTTCGGACAATATATGACCGAATTTCAAGGAACATTTTAAAAAAGAATGAAAGAATTATTTACCAGGATAAACGAAGTTTAAATTACCAAAGTATGAAGGTGGTTCCAGACACAAATAATGGATTGGTTTTTTGTCTATTAAAAGATTATTATTATTATTCCTTTAGAAATTTTGGAACTGCTGACGTTTCAGCCAGATAGCACTGTTTTTCTTGAAGTTGTCCAATGTTGTTTGGCTGAAACCTCGGCAGATCGAATAAATAAAAATTTGATCTCAGTCTATTGCTTCTTCCTAGAAGAATCGAACAATCATTTTTATTGTTGGAGATGACACAGAATCAAAATGAGTTGTTAAATAAGGATCGAAGTTGTTCTTGCACATTATCGTTGCAAAATGTCCTCTAAAGCCGGATCACTTGCTATCGAGAGCGTCGAGAACACATTTTGCAATACTTGTACAATTGGTCATCTGTTTCATGTGAGTACGATTAGTTCTTCGTAAGCTCTGCTCGCTCATCTGACTTTTCATTGATTTTCGAGATGTCTGCTCCAGATTAGCCATGGACTTGAAAATCTCTCTGTCTTCCCCATTTGTTTCTATCTCCATGCATTTAAGAGGTCATATTTCCTTTTGTCATCGACCTCATATTGCAATAACAGACACTACTGTCCTGGATTCAGTATTGCCTGCATCTCCTGATAGCTCGATGACTCAAACATCAAGGACGACGAATGTCAACATACTCTAAAGAATACTTCTCTGGAAAAGACGTGCCTTTCGATGGTTTTAAGCACCAGTAGGTCTGGAATAATTTTAATGAAATTTTCGCCGCTCCTCATATATCACTTTTCAAAAAACAAGTGTTTTTATGGCACATGAATCCTGTCTTTGTCAGAAATTGACGATGAGATTCTTTCATTACCTGACCTTCAGCTATTTCGTACATACCGCTGTAAATCGTCAAAATTTTGAGTTACAAGGGGAGGGGTGCCTTGCTTCGATACATAATTGCAGGTGCCAGAAACACCTGTTGACTTCTTTTCGGTAACGGTGGCGTCAAATGTTTGTCCATATCTTGTTCTCGCTTTCTACCTTTGCCCAAGGAAATTGTTCCTCCAAATATGTGCATTGTATCAGACTTCTGACGCCGTCCAACTATGTTTTGACTGTCAAAATACTGTAAATCATTACTTTAGGAATCCTGAAAATGCAATGCCCAAAAAACTCACAAGGTGGTATTCATTGGTAAGAATACCAAAATTCCCAATTCGCAATATGCAGCTGCTCAGAACATCATAGTGGAAGAGAAAAATTATCCTTCGGTCATATACCTGAGAAATTCTTCATTATGTGATACAAAAGTTTGTCATCTTCTGTATAATTCTGCCTTTGGTCTACG